AGTAGAGTTAAAAATACAAACAATATTGTTCATAAATAAAACATAAATTAATAACAGCATATCAAATTATCACTCATACTCAAATGTGCAGTGCTTCAGTTTATCATTTTATTGAGGTCTTTGGATAGTAATCTGTGACCTTAGTTGTGACACTAACACATCTGGGTCAACTGTCACGGACATCATCAAGCTTGTTATTTGATGAATTTATATCATATAATAATCAAATAATACTTATAGTATAACGTGCTAATATGTCTACACAGTATATATAATGTTATCAAAAATTTCCACAGTTCCTAACATGATTAGTTCTAAACATTTCAAGATGATATTTATATATATACTTTTTTTCTTTTCATATTAATTACAAACTGTGAGATTAAAACTATATAACAACTCTTGTGTAGTATTATCTAACAGTGAATAATATATTCAATAATTCTTAAACACACACAAGAACATGTACATGTGAACATATACAAACTCATACAAAGACACAACACACACATAGATATGTACAGTATATGCATGTGCTAAAGGTCACATGCATATAATATGCAGGCAAATTACACACACACACACACACACAATTCATGAATGTGTGTTTGTTTTACTATATATTCAATTTTGTATTTGGGTTTTATAAATTTTTGCAATTTGTTTCATGGCACAAGTGTTCCATTATCACGAGGGCAATATTATGGAGACTTGGATATGGCGAAAGAAACACATTCCTTCTGACCTCCTGTTTTAAAATGATGTCATAAGAAGAATTTAATTTTTTTGACCAATGCTGTCAGACAATTTGCTCTGATTTATGCTGTTTGGTTTTATACCGCATTGTGTGAGGAGTTAAATCAACGTTTGAGTGTGTGCCAAGAGATGCTGATGTCATCAGATGTTTGGTAGTTAATATGGCAATAAGCTAAAACTACTAAGTGAACTCACACAGTGATTACAAGTTTAATCTCAAGCACAGATTATCAAATGTTAAGGTTAATATTATGGCTCTAAAGTTAATATTACATTTCCTTAAACACTTGACTAATGTACTATTCATCCACTCAGCAAAAGGTCTATATTAACCCCCACTGTGGCAGTGTTGGATCCTGTATTCTCTCCTTAGGATATCAATGTGTGTAATCCTTCATCATGGATTTACTCAACTTACTGTGTAAACTAAGTCCTCAAATAAACTTATGTAATAAGTCCTACAATAATAATCATCTGTGACTCATAAAATGTAAAATATAAACAATTCTTTGCATTATAATCACTCTACTGCAAAATGCAATCATCCTACATAGGAGGAAGGACAAGTGTTAATGCATTCAGTGTTTAAAAATGACAAGGGTTGGTGTACAGCTAATACCATCGGGGACAAAAATGAGTCATCAATAATACTATTATTTACACTATTTTATATACCTGTACACTAATCATGTACATATAATAGATACTTTGACTCTAACTACAGTCAAAGTGTGTATGTGTAGGTAATTCTCAATTATTCAGGTATATACAGTATTTAGAAGAAAAGCAATGTTTATAAAAGAATAATCAGCTTTTGTGATTGTGTTAAATAAAAACAATTTTTCAACAACATTACAGTACATGAACACGTACTGGTATATAGCAGTAGAGAAGTGATTCATTATGTACAGTATAATTTATGCCCATTCACATTTTCCTTTCACAAGTTCTCCTCTTCTACCTAGTCTCAAGTCATTTTCTGGCACACACTTCTCTAACATACACAGTACCTTAAAAAAATTCATGAGTCAATCTTATGTCTTCAACTTTCCTTCAATCTTCCATCTCTGTTCTATACACTCCTTTTACCAATCTTTCACTATATCCATACTATCTGAGCAGATCCTGATATACTTTCCCTCCATAACTTCCACACCTCCTTTGGATTCTTGTACTTCTTATTCTCTTGATTTATTTACCCCATAAATTACTCTCAGGCAACTCCAAGATACATCTGAAATACTCCTCGTCCTTCATATTATCTCCATTCCAGCTAACTTTTATTTCACCATGTCTACCTTTCTTGTTTATTTTTAAAACTTTACTTTCTTCACATCCACTATCGAGTCCCATATACCTCTAAAATTTTAAGACTTTTCACAGAATTTTCGATCTACTCTATCATAGCTTTTCTGAAACCATAAATTCCACAAAAATTCTCTCTCTTCTCCAGAAACTTTATATATATATATATATATATATATATATATATATATATATATATATATATATATATATATATATATATATATATATATATATATATATATATATATATATATATATATATATATATATGAATATATATATATATATATATATATATATATATATATATATATATATATATATATATATATATATATATATATATAGATATAGTATATATATATATATATATATATATATATATATATATATATATATAGATTAGGTATTATGTATATGAATATGAATGAATATATAATAACATATATATATATATATATATATGTATATATGGATAAGATATATATATATATGTATATGGATATGGATATAGATATGAATATATATATATATATATATATATATATATATATATATATATATATATATATATATGAATATGAATATATAGTTATAGATATATATGTATATATATATATATATATAGTGTAATATATTAATATGAATATAGATATATATATATATATATATATATATATATATATATATATAGATATATATATATATATATATATATATATATATATATATATATATATATATATAAGAATAATAATAATATATATATATATATATATGTAGATATGAATATGAATATGGATGTAGATTATAGATATAGATATGAATATATATATATATATATATATATATATATATATATAGATATGAATACTATATATATATATATATATATATATAGATATGAATATAGATATTATATATATAGATATGAATATATATATATAGATGTATATATATATATATATATATATATATATATATATATATATATATATATATATAGATATATATAGATATATATATATATATATATATAGTATAGATATATATAGATATATATATATATAGTATATATATATATATAGATATATATATATACATATATATACAGGTAGTTCTGCTATACTTAGCGATAATTGTGTTCTTGTAAAATATCGTGTTATAGAAAATCGCGTAATAGAAATAACAGGCTTATGGAGAAAATAGGTTAGGTGCAGATTACTCGAAATCGAAAAAATTTAGTAGTTAGCCTAACACAAAGGATAGCACAGTCTAAATAAATGTTACATTCATATCTAATAATGAAATCATACAGTAAATTTAACACTTTACCTTAAAAAAATATGAATGTAACTTGATGGGGGAGAAGGGTGATTTTGAGGTTGATAACATCAAGCTTCTCTTCAAGTGTTATATCCTTTCTTTTACGATAATCACCGGGAATTCTATCATCAGAATGCTTTTTGGAGATATTCCTCTTTACCATATTCACAGTTAATACCACAAAATTGGAGAAATAGTAAGCAAAAATCGCGTTATAGCAAACAAGCGATCGCGTTATACAAATATTGTTCCGAATTCATAAATCGCGTTAGAGCAAATTCGCGTTATCAAAACACGCGTTATAGTAGAACTCACTGTATATATATATATATATATATATATATATATATATATATATATATATATATATATATATATATATATATATATATATATATATATATATATATATATATATATATATATATATATATATATTTAGAACCGAGTCTTATTACTGAACCTACAGCTAGAGAGAATTCATGTTTTGATACATTAAGAAACATCATTGCAGAGAAAACTAAGTGGCATAAGTAAAAATTAACCATACAGGTACATCTAAAGTTTAATTGTATCCCTTTTAAGTGAAAAACTACTGTATTTGATAAGATTTGACAAAGCTTTTGTTTTCTCATTAAAGGTTTACACACACTGATATGTGATATGAAATATCCAGTCAATTGCACTCTACTGGATATTAATTTCTTAGTAGTTTGCCACTGAAACAAAATGCCTTATAAATTTGTTTAAACTGCTCTGGCTTCTTTTCATACTGCATTCCAGAAATTTCATAAACTGTCACAAAATAACTGATTACTATTAAAATACAGATACTGCTCACTAGAGTGCAATGTCTGGTTGTAAATACCTGTCTTGCTGAGGAACTGACCGGTTGTAACCCTGGCTCGGTGAAGTAAGAGCATCAGCTGGTCGCCCACCATTCTTCTTAGCTGTCGCTAAAGTCTTTGCTGCATTTACCAGAGGCTGTCCACTGCTGTTTTGGTTTGCAACTGCAGGACAGAGACACCAGGTGGCAATATTTAGGTTATGTTTGTAACTTTAGCATTGATGAGAATTGTGCAGATACATTCTGCCTTGAATTAGACATTCATGTACACAGGTTCTAAGAACATGGGCACACTGACGCAGTATTTTCGTACAATACTAAGAATGAGAAAATAGTTTCATCATCTGATGCTTGGCAGCAGTAAGCAATGCAACAGTGAGTCATAGAGGGCTGGAAAAGATTGCAATACGGTATTTGGATGGGATTGGAATATGTAATTGGGATCAGTGAGAGTGACTAAAGTGTAGGGGAGAGTTGTAATATTTTCAATTAGGTGTTTAAGGGAAAAACTGGAAGAATGAGGAAAGGTAGGCTGCAGGGCTTTCAAAATATGCAGCCAAGATTGTCAAACTGCAGATCAACATGCTAATAATAAAGTTTACAAGGAATGCTCTTTTAATCTACAATAGTTTATCACACACAGTTACAGTAATAAGAAAAAAATAAGCTCAACAGTAGCTGGAAATGAAATCCCAAAAAATTGCATTGTGGTACATTATCAGTAACTATGCTTTAGCCACAAGTTTTTGCAACTAATCAAATTATACATCATCAAATCACACAAATCACACTACTAACCTATCATACATTTCAAAACTTTGTACTGAAATATGATTAGAAGCATTGATTAGCAAAACCCATAAATTAGACTGCTTGTAAAACAAAATAATTTAATATATTTACACAGCTCAGATGGATGAAGTGGCAACAATTAATCTATACAGTCAGTATGAGCAAGGAAGGTAGGTGCTTCAGTACCTCATATTGATCAGACTGGTGTCATAGAAATCATCATCACTTCACACTCTAGGAACAATTAAGCAGCATATTACCGAACACTTATTAGGATAGTGAAAGAGTGAGTCTTGGATATTAAAGAGAGTAAATATCTATTCCAGTTCTAGTAGAAATACATGTCACTTGAAATATCATAACCTGAAAATCTTAAAAATCATAATACCTGTATGTAAATATATGAAATTAGGAAAAACTAATCCTCAAAATGTTTAAATGGATAATAGCATATACATGTACAGTAAAATGTTTCACTCTCTAGAACCTGACTCACTTTTCCACTCCCTCAAGAAAAAATCAGTTAAGACAAACATCGCAGTTTCTAAGAAAAAATAGACTATACATGAAAAGCACAAATGAAAACGTATCTGTACAGGGGCCACATATGATAAACATGCATCACAACACTACATGATATATATGTACAGTACAGGATTGATTACATCATCTGGCAGCAAACGAAAACTTTTCTTTTATTATCGGTGTCTTTGTAATAATTTTCATGAGATATATATTTCAGGACTTCCAATGAGTAAATTTGATAAGTAGTTCATAAATCATTTTGATATTTCTTTCACAACTTTTACTACTAATTTCTTTCTGTTTTAAATCTGGTATATCCTTGCAGTTTCAAAATTTTGTGAAACAGACACACAAAAAGAAGAAATAAAGAATAAACAGCCATCATTGGACCAGACAGAGTGGTGTTTACAACAGATAAGACAGCGGTGATGTACAACAAACATTACAGGATAATTCACAAACTGTGTTAATGTGGTGTTGAAGCTTTGCCAATATCAATAATGTTCATTAAAACATTTACAACTAATGAAAACTCTTACTTATATTCAAAGAAAAAGTGGGTCAATAACTAAACATGATTTTACAACACATAACAACTGCAAGGATTTAAGTAAAGACACAGTTTAGAGTACAGTACTAAGAGGCAGTTGTACCACCTTTTTCACTTCTGATTTATAACACTACCGTATATATATTTCATTAGCCCAATAAACACGCGGACTTCTACATACAATCAACACCTCAACCCGCCAGGATTCGAACCCACGGCCCACGAGCCCATGACTGTGACTGGGGAACGCTAACTGCTCTTCCACCAGGATACTAAAAGCAGTCCTAGACTCTGTTATATTTAACACAAAGCCTGTTCAACGAGCTTATGGCGCCGTGAACCTCTAATGATACGGGTAGTCCCCATTAGAGGTTCACGGCGCCAGAGGCTCGTTGAACAGGCTTTGTGTGAAATATAACAGAGTCTAGATCTGCTTTTAGTATCCTGGTGGTCCAGCGGTTAGTATTCCCCGGTCACAGTCATGGGCTCGTGGGCCGTGGTACATTTCCATTAAAAAATGACCACCTGATGTAGCCATCTTACTCGTCAGGAATGTGGATACTTTTTCCGGTCCAAAGCATCACTATATTCTCAGTATTCAGGATACTAAGCATTTCTGAATTGCATGCTTACCAGGTGACTGACTTGCATGTTAGTTTGATTAAGTGACAGTGAAGGCCCATTGCCAAGTGGGTGGCAAGGGAGGAACTGACATCTAGATATGTCAATGAAGTTTTGGACAGTCAAGGTCAACTATGGTGATTACAGACCTGGTTAGTATAAGTTTTTGTATGTTGTACTGTAATCAACCTTTATATTCAAATACGTTCTTACACATTTTCATCAAAACTTCTTACTTTATTCACTAAAACGAACACCTCACTAAACTAGACATTGAGCTACAGTCCAAGCAATGTCCTGGTGAAAATGGTTTCTGTGTACAGGTAGACAGTATATTATCCTTTACACATAATTTCATATTCAGGTACAAATACTTTTTTCTTCTTTTTTTTGGTGTTATCATGCTGGGTGGCCATACACGTGCTGATCCCCTGATCTTTAGTAGCTCGCAAGATGTTAGTCTACCAAAGGGTTATTCCACCATAGACCAGTGCACTCTATAGTGTGCTGAAGTTTTTGTCATCTTGGATTATACCTGACAAACTAATGTTAGAAAAATATGCTCCATTGTTCAACTTAAGAAGGAATAAAGCTCCTGAAAGATTTAATACCAAACACCTCAAAGGATGTTTCATTGCAGAAAATTTATGATACCTTAAGAGAATTTCCATAATAATTTCGTACAATACTGTACCTTGTGATTCCACCACAGAACAGAATTCTTCCACCATTCGCAGCAAGTGCAAACACAAATCATAAGGCTGTGGCTGTCTGTATAACGTCTTAGAATAAAAATTACCGTCAAGGAAATTATTACAAGTCTGGTCAGCTCTATGTCGTACGTAAGTTTCCATTCAAAAAGCGCCAAGAGTCTGAACATTGAAGATATCATTGATGCTTTTGCTTCCAACCACAATAACCGAAGAATCACACTGCTATGACTTTTGTTTTCAGTTACCCTGAGCCTTTCATCTGAGAGTAGAATGAATATACTGTACTGCATTATGTTCATGCTGTATATAAGTTATTTCAAATTTCTGTCATTTTTGTTTCAAATAAATTTCTTCTTCATTATTTTGATGGCTTGCATATTGATGTAATTTCATTATGTAATTATTGTTCTTATTCTTTTGTATGTACAATTGCATGGTTTGTCAATCTTATGTAAAGTGTGAATAAATATGTATCTTTGAAAACTGCTATTTTTGTTCAATCCAGAATGCGACGTCTCACCTATTTCCAGTCCCCAAGAAAGGCAGCCACAAATTGAGGTGGATTTTTTATCTTTCCATCCTGAACAAGTTCATTACCAAAAGAAGTTTCAAGATGCTCACTTACAATCATCTGAGGCATCTACTTGCGACCAGTGCTTGGATCTCAAAAGTGGATCTCGAAGATGCCTATTATCACGTGCCTGTTGCTCCCAGGTACAGAAAGTTTCTAGTGTTTCCAGTGGCGGATGTAAGTTATCATTTCACAGTGATGCCATTCGGCCTTACAATTGCGCCAAAAGTGTTTACAAAACTGGCAAACATCCCCAGGGAGATCCTTGCGAAGGAGGGCATAAGAACTTTTGATTACCTGTATCTAGACGATTGGCTGATAGCGGGAAACTCTTTCAAAGACTGTCAAAGGGCGACCCAACGTACACTAGTACTATTTCAAAACATAGGATTAAAGATAAATCAGGTCAAATCAAATCTCATACCATGATTATGGATATGTAATATATATTCTAAGTAAAAATAGTATACTGCACTTGCTCTGCAAATGCAGCTTTGAGACAAGTCCCCTAGCCCCCTCTTCCAACCAGATTGCCACCCCTAAGCCCCTCCTATATAGAAATTCTGGAGCCGCCGCTATACAGTATAGGAAAGGCCTTCATGAAGGTGTTAGAAGTACAGTATTGTATGTATAAATTTCTTAATGTAGATTGATGTTTATGGAGGTTTTAAATACGCTACTTCAACTATGAATATTCCTGACACCATTTACACTGTGCACTACATCTCTCGCAGAAATATAGTTGCATGAACATACAGCAGAAGACACAAAGGCTATTCATACTCAATTTCTGTCCCATTCGGGTCTTCTGATCACAATCCTATTTCTATTAAATCAAACTGGGGACAACCACCTACCCTACCTCTAAATGCCAACTATGGCACTATCGGAGGGCAAACTGGCATTCCTTGCAAGAATTCTACTCCGACTTTATGGGATAAATGTTGCTTTTCCACTCGAGACGCTTCGGTATGTGCTGACAGCATTGCTGGGGTTATACAGGGTGGTATGAGTGCATTTATTCCATCTTCCACCAAAACTTTCACTTTACAATCATGGTTTGATCGCTCCTGTTCTCTTGCATATTGGTAGAGAGATAGGGCGTATGAAGTTATGAAACTATCTCCTTCTCCTGTTACCCACTCCTCTGTCAATACTTCTAGGATTCATTGTAAGGTTATTCTTCGTAGGGCCAAGTGGAATTTTATAAAAAGAAAGACAGCTGTCCTGACTAACTCTTCTAGTAAATCCTTCTGGTCCATAACCAAAAATATCTGTAATTACTTCTGCACAACCTCTTTTCCTTCTCTCTTCCGACCTGATAATTCTATAGCCAACTCTCCCCCTGATAAAGCCAATCTCTTTGGCACCTTATTCTCCTCTAACTCCAC